AGGCAACTCCAGAGTCGTATACCCTTTACATGAAAAAGCATGCCATTACCACTGCAATAAAAAGAGGAATGTTGAGCAACTTGTCAAGTTGGTCTTTAGTATTGCTTAAAATAAATAATTAATCTTTTAGCACATTAGCATCAAATTATCAGTAGCAGGACAGGGAAATTGTGCAAATGACTATAAACTGAAGCCATGTTGTAATTAATGGATGCATTGACAAATTTAGTCTTTGCAGACTACTTTATAAAAACGGACACATAGCTGTACACAGCAGGTGTGAGGAAAATGAGGAACGAAAAATGGATACGTCATGTAGGATTATGACTTTTATTCTTGTAATATTACAAATTTAATCTCATAATATCATGACTTTATTCTTGTAAAAATTATGACTTTTTTCTCGTAATGTTACAACTTTAATCTTGTAATATTACAACTTTAATCTTGTAATATTACAAATTTAATCTCATAATATCATGACTTTATTCTCGTAAAATTATGACTTTATTCTCATAAAATTACGACTTTAATCTCGTAATGATAATTTAAACATATCTCGTTGTGTGGCCCTAATACTCCATCGTTCTCACTCACCCGTAACAAAACAGCAAAACTCACCGTAGAAAGAATCACCCCATAAAACCCCGCTGCCCTTCATCAATAGGTACACAGAAATCAAACCCAGTGTGTCATTTTTCATTGCATGAAAGCTCACTTGTGATTTGACACGACTGCACAAACTCCAAAATGCCAACTCAGGAAGCTATAATCTCTCAAACTAATACCTGAATTCAGATAAAGTTGCTTAAATTGTAAATAAAAACAGATAATTTGCAAAACTGAAGAGTAACAAGGCTGCAACTTTTCAGCACGAGGTGGGCAACTCTGCTGTACATATGGTGGCAACCGTCGACAAAAGCCAAAGAGGTTTCAGCAGCAACCGGGTCCAGCAGTTTTAGCCAAGGTCCCTGCTTTGCCGCTGTTGGAAACAGCTGAAGGTGCACCAACACTCGGGCTTCAGCCAAGCTCCAGAGCCTCCTGCTCTCCAAATCCCATCCTAAATAAAAACCCAAACTGATGCCAGACCGCCTGTTTATTTGTCCCTTTCCATCATCATTGTTTTATTTATTTATTTTTCCCAGCAATTAACTCTATTTTACCCTTCTGGCATTTGCTGCCCCACATAAAATAAAGATCATTAATTTCCYTCCTTCTGAAGTGGACAGGCTCTTCACGGGAGCGTCACCTCTGCTAATGTGAAGCAATCATCCCAAATGTTTGGTGGAAAGAATCAAATTTCATAGCCATCAGTCGCGCAAATGAACGGCAATTAATTTGTCTCCACACTCATCTGCTTGAAAGGTCGCTGCTTATAATCAGCTATTCATTAGGGAAGTCTGTAAAAGAAGTATATAGCTGAAGTCTAGCCTGCTCTTGATTTTCTTTTGTAGTCTTTTTATGTCACGGGGATAATTGATCGTTCTCTCTGGGAGACAGAAAAATCAGTTATTTTGTAATGCATCAAGCGTATTAGCATTGATTGGAAGCACAGTTAACTGCCAGCTACAATTTCCTGGAGATAGATGCTTTTCAGGAAGTCTTAAGTGAAAGGTTAAAACKTTTATTTAGGCTTTTCGGACACAAGTATATAGTTTTATTCGGCCCCGGATAGAAAACTCCTCACTGAGTTTGGCAATGATTTAACAGAACAGTTTTAAAGAAACACTCAAGGCTTTTTGTTTTTTGTTTTGTTTTGTTTTTTTTTTTGGCTCAGTGATTGAAACCTTTTGTCTTTTTGTCTCATCAGAACAAGCACACAGATCTCAATCTGAAAGAGTCGCTCTTTGTTGGCGGAGCTCCTGATTACAGCAAACTAGCACGAGTCGCTGCTCTCACAGAGGGATTCAAGGGAACAATCCAAAAGGTAAAAAGGTTCAGGAGATGCTATTTATCGCCCACCGCTGATGGCGGCGGTGGACTGATAATGTCTGTGTGTCGCTTTGTCTGTGCTGAACCGATTCAAATGAAACTCTCAGGAAGTAATCATYGGGTTGACATCTACAACTGATCCGCTTTTGGAGTCAACTCGTCTCAAGATGCCCAAAACTGCAAGGCAATCTGGGCAAACACAAAAATGGCTCGATCTCAGTCGGTTTCACGGATGCTGAACTAAAACTTGGTGTGATAGGAGCTGAAACTGAGCCTCAATTTATACTCTGAACACTTTAAAACCTTACTATTAACTATTGGAACTACAGAATTAGCAGGTAGCATCATGAATGCTGAAAGATTTTTGCAGAGTTAAAAGAAAAAGAAATGCATAAATTTTGTGATTTGTTGTAAATGGCCAAAAAAGTTCAAGTTAGCAGAGAAGTTGCTAAAAAAAAGTCTAATCTAGCACAAAGAAGCAGAAAGAGCACATGTTTACTGATTTAGGCAACTGAAAGAAGGAGCTGAAGTTATCACAAAAAGGTGAATCTAGCTGTGAAAAATCTGAAAAGTAGCTTAAATTTCAGAAAACAGCTAAAATAAGCAAAAAAATAGCCCCAAAAAAGCATAAGAGAAGCTGAAGGACACTTAAATTACCACAAAGATGTAAAAAAAGGTTGAAGCTGAACAAAAGGTGAAAAGTGCAAGAAAGGTTTAACTTTTTTGAAGGATTTTAAGGATGCTGTAGATCAAAGGTTCCCAAACTTTTTATCTTCTGACCCACAAAATATCCATGGCAAAAACTTGTGACCCCAAATWTTACTGGTCTGAGTACATGAACTTTGTTAAAAACCCTAAAAACACAGGYTTTTTGGCAATCTAAACAGCTTGTACACAAATATAAATACTTATTTATACTTATTTTGTGATTTTGTATAATTATAGGGTAAATATTACACCAGCAATTATTTTATTACCCTTTAAATTGATTTCTGGAGATTATCCAAGGTGCTTCATGACCCATWATTGGGTCCCAAGCCCAACTTTGGGAACCAAAGTGCAGTGGTTCCCAAACGTTTTAGCTTTTGACCCACAAAATAACAGTAGCAGAGACCTGTGCCCACAACTATTTTTGTATGATAAACAATTCTATCAGGTCAACTAAACATGGGCATAGTAACAATATTCTTATACTACATTTATCCATTTTAAATACACTAACCTCACTCCTTTGTAACAACTAAGGCAAAAATGTAATTAATTCAGAAAATATTTTCAGGACCCCACCTTGATGTTTCGGAACCCCACTTTGGGTCCCGACCCCAACTTTGGGAAACACTGCTATAGACAACTCTATTAATTTTAAATGAGAACAAAAATGGCCAAAAAGGCTAAATATCGCAAAAAGTATATATTGCTGAAATTCCAAAAGTCATAGCCTGAGTGTCCTGAAGGAGCTGTAAGTTTTGATATAGAAATTATTGAAAAGGCAAAACAAATTGCAGAATGAGGTACGTACCCAAAAAAAAAAACGTACAGAAGGAAAATGAATCATCTTAACAGTGTGAACRCTTGGTAACATTCACACAATTAACTGTTTGCAAAATATCTCATCAGCGACTGAATAAATTCTAATTAAACATTCAGAAAGCAACATTTGGTTTGACATTTACAACTGATTACTATTTGGGTTTAACCCAATTCATTCGGCTTCCACAGCCAACTGATACATAAATGTAACTCGGACAGTTTTATAGACATGTTTACCTGTTAGCAAAATATCTCCTAAACCACAGGATGGAGTTCAATAAAACTCTCAGAACTCAATTATTATCTGCACATCTATTTCTAATAGCTTTTTTTAATCTATTCAGTTCAAGCTAATTGAGCTTAGCCTCAACAAAAGGGGCTATAGCTTGTAAATATTAAAGATATTAAGCTAAAATTTGAAATGTTCGTAGCTAAAAGTCATTCCCGTAACATATTCCAAGCASTCATGTTGCATGAAGTTGTGCATAATGTCATAAAGTCTTCGACATGAGATGATCATAGTCTAAACTCAGGCATGAGAGATGGTGRGTGATATGCATTCCTCCTGTTTGAGTCAGGCCTGAGTTATTTTAATGACTTGGAGCTCATCAGACATACTGTTGCAAAGTCAGACGATCGTGGTTATTTTCCATTATAAAGCTCCCACCGTGACGAGAAGTGGCTCCGCTCATTTGGATTAGCTCGCACTAATTTTAGTGTGCGTATTTTTTGAAGTCCCTCCATTTTGCTTTTTTTTTCCTCAGATCTTTTCCCTGACAGCTTTGCAGTTTTATTTTATTTTATTTTATTTTTTCTTTCTGCTTTCCAGCAAACAACTCATCCCTGAGTGCCCAAAATAACTCAGCGGAACAAAGGCTGGATTTTAGTGTTTGCACAAACTTGTCAGTAGTTCTTGTCTGCAAACTTTCCCTTGACAGTTCCGAGGCAGCCGAAGCTAAATGTGGCATTTGTCGTACGTGGCCTCCAGGGAATCGTTAATTATGTGGGAGACAGTATGTATTCCTGCTTTGATGTGCTGTTTAATTTGAGAGTTGCATCAGCACCTATTGTCTGAGGAGCTTTTTAGCGCGTTGACAGTGTGGATTTTCTCTTTAAAGGAACACGTTAATCTAAACCTACTGCTTCACTCTCTGTTCAATAATTAGGTTTAATGATCCCTCTACAGGAAGCTCAATGCCCTTTAACTGCATGCTTTCATTTGGGTAACAGTCAAAAGTTGTAGCGAATAATACATTTAATCTGAAACTTTATCAATGAGGCAGAATAACCCAGTAGATTTAAAGGGGCAATATTATGTGTTTCTCAGGCATACATTTAAATACTATACCATAATAAAGTATCTATGTCAACTTTAGCTGTTATTGAAATGCTGTTTTTATTTTTAAATAGAAAATAAACTTATCTTCTCATCACTTCCTCTTCTAAACGCCTTGAAATTGGCCTCTGTCTCTTTAAGAACCTCCTTCCGCTGCCCATTTCAATGCGGGGGGTGGGGGGGGTTCTATGATGATTACTTGGCATCTGAAAATACATTTCCTCAAATGGTATTTTTAATCTGAAAAGAGCTTCACTGAGTGAGAACTAATGTTG